CCTTTGCTTTCTGCTTGATATTGTATTGATATTGTGAGGAGAAATTCTCTCCGAGGAGGTAAAGTGTTACAAGGCTAATGCTTGGAACTTTGGAAGGATTTTCCTTTGGTTGTTGGGCAATAGGATTTGAATGTCTGTTCTCAGTGTTTGTTTCTTTTTATTTTCAGGTTGCTCCTTCAGGAGGAAACAGAATTGAATTCCTCTTCAAAGAATATAGCAGGATTAAGAAAAAGCGCCTTTAAATCAACACTGATTCAAGTCATTCTTTTTTTTATTAGCTTAATTAACAGAAAATCTCTTGTTGGAGCTTCCTGTTTTCAGAAGTAATGTAGGTGTTAAGACCAAAGGAACTGTTAGTGGTGGTACACTTTGAGTTGTGGTGGAAATGAGAAGGGTTAAGTTTTGTTCACTGGTAAGAACAGCGGTGTCGTTACTCAGACAGAAATGATCTTGCCGCTGACATTGCCTCTGTAAATAAATAAAGTCAGTGTTGATTTATATTGTGGCCTGTGTTCATTGACTTTAGCATCATGCCTTATAGTTACAAGCAAGGTAAGAAACTTGAGGTTACAACTCTCTGAATTGTTTGCCAATAAACTATTGGTGGACATGTTCCTGTTACCATCCTTGTTACCACAATACTTGCCCTAGAAGGAAATTGTTATGTTTGGTCACATTTTTTTACTGTTCGTAGGAAAAAGTCCTAACAACCATTCCATAGGTTTTCTGTTTCTGAGGTTATTTGGACTTGATTTCAAGTGAGGCTTGAACTATTAACTCTCAGGATTTGATTATGAATTCTCCCCTCTAGCTGCTGGACATTTCCTTGTAATTGTTTAGGAGAATTTGGTGTTCAATCAAGGTAACAACATCTACCTGACAAGTTTGAGTATTCTCATTACCTGTTGGCTGGATCATGTTTGGATATTATAGGGAGAAGTTACAGGTTAATCACTTCTGGGAGTTAAAGGGTCAAAGGAATTGCAAGTGTTAGGCAAGAATACAGAATCTGAATTTATCACTTGTTCAGATGTAAAGCACCCTGCTAAGTTGAAGTATGGGTACATCATGTGCTCCACCATGTTGCATCAACCGTGTTCTCAAAGACAGTGGGTCGAAGTCGAACGCCCTTAATTTGAGGGGTAAACCATCCTTATATTGTACATCGGGGCTCCGCTATTGAACTTTTCGCCTAGGACAAAATTTTCTCCCAAACATTTGACAACACATGGCGCGAAAGTAAAGCAAAGCACATCTTTATTACCTTCTGAACCATCCTGAACGTGCAAACAAGCGTATTTTGAGACAGAAAGTTTAAGTTCACTAAATGAAAGGCTTCACTTAAACGCTCCATGGCGCAAACGATGAATTATTTGTTTTCTTTTGAAGTATTGTTCACTGAGGAATTAAAGCTAATGACTGAGTACAATGCCAAAGAATATTAGCAATGCTTAATCTTGCGTTACGTGGAGTGACTCAGCATTCCAAGTCAAGTGAGTTGTTTTGTTGACTGTGAGGTCCATTCCCGTCCAATTTAAAACCCTGTTCCAAAATTCCACTTTGGTCCATTTATTGTGAGCATGAAGATGACTGTCCGCTTCACAATTCTTTTAGTGGGTTTAATTCTCCCACTCGTAGCAGGTAAGTCAAAGTCGAAGACACTGTAATTGGAGTTCTACTGATTACGTAATTTAACGTGAAATTTGTCAACTTTTTCGATACGTGTTGGGGTATTGGATCACAATTTTTGTGGTGAGAAAATTTGGTTTTATGCAGGGCATGTTTTGGCTCCTCGGATGCAGTGGCTCTCTAGTCTGAATCTCACCCGAGTTATATGTTCTCTCAAATCGGCTCCACTTGAAGTTTTGATTACAATGCTTGGGTTTATTTAGATATTCAGAGTTTTCATTTAGTAAAATCGTTGAAGAATACATCTATCGACGATAGCTTTATTAAAAATGGCTAAGTAACTTGCATTGAATGATTAACATTATCCGAATATAGTACAAAACAAAACGGCTTGGAGAGCGAGCGGTTTGCGCAGTGTCACGTGACCTTTGAAAGGCAGCAGCAAACAAAAGCTTTTTAAATAGAGGTAAATTACGTGTGCGCGGGCACATGAAATGAACGAACCAGGTAAGTTTCTGAGGAAACTGTGGTGCTGCGTCGAAGGGGGGTATAACAAGATAATTTGGTTTTATCAACTCAGTTGATAATGTAAATTGGGCACCGTAAAGAGCTTCTACGGAAGAAAATTTACATTGTAAACTGAGTTGAAACCAAATTATCTCCTTTAAAAGAAGCCTTATAACAGTTTGTCACAGGACTTGTCTGGGTAACTTACTGCCTCTGTTTTCATATTCGGAAGTGTATTTGGCTGAGCCCGACGCCACTTTCCATGCCCCGGATGCACAATGCTAAAATCTCAGGCATGCGCAGAAATCTAGTCAACGCCATGAGCTATTTAGACTTTCCTTTCTTTTACAATCATTTCGTGTGTGTGTGTGTGTGTGTGTGTGTGTGTGTGTGTGTGTTTTTTTTTGGGGGGGGGCATTACCCTTTCAACCTTCAATGCCTGAAGGAAATGAGGAATTGGAATCCCCATAAAAAAATTGTTTCGTTCATAACTTTGATAGTGTGGATTTGAAGGAACACTCTTGTCAATTTGGCTTTAAATACTTCAGGTGATCATACATTGTAACACTGAGGGTAGTTGTTTCTCCTTTATCACAGTCAGCGCTTTGAAATGCCATCACTGCCTAAGCTCGTCATCGCTGTATGATTGTGGAAAGTCAAGCGAAAAGATTGAATGTCCTGAAATAGCAGACAAGTGCGCTAATATTTCCACTGAAGTCGAGGCTAGCGTTGGCTCCATGAAAAGCTACTTCTACGGCTGTGCTACTAAGAAAATGTGCGATGATGCCAGAGAACAACTTAAAGTGTGTCAGAACATCAGTGGGGGAAGCTATAAAGTCAAATGCAACATCACTTGCTGTAGTGGAGATTATTGCAGTCCAATCGTTACTTCACAAAGTACCATGCCACTTTCAGGACAGTTGTTCCTTCTTCCTACTATAATTTTCGCTCTCTCTTTCGTATTTTAAAGACTAATGAATAGAAAGTGTTTTTTTGTGTATCGAATTTCCCTCACCAATTGCTCTTTTCATTTTTCAAATTTCTAATTCCATTCGGACGAGAGGAGAAAGGGCTGACTCTCTAACTAGCCTCGTTGTTTAAGTTATTCTTCAACTTTCTCGACGAAATGATAGAAAAGATTTATAAATATTGTACAACACACTATTCTAAAAAATTTGTGTTGTTGCTGTGAAACATGAGCGTACACATATAGCACCAGCTTCCTTTTACCAGGTTGGAGAAAAACACTAGCTTTGATAAAATAAATTCACGTGTCAATGTTTTATGAGTACTTGAGCTACATTAATTCAACCAAAACTGCTGACTTGCGCCTAAGTTCAAACGAGTCTGAAGGATCGAGGGGGGGGGGGGGTCATTTTGAAAGTTGTCCGATACCCTGTCTGCTATTTTCTTCTGAAACACGCGCCCTATATCGTTCAGAGAGCTTTTTCTCCCGTTTTCAATAAATCGACTTGTGCGTTCTATATTGAGTGGGAATAAGTTGAAATAAAAAATGAATAAAGGCTGATAGTTTCAAAAGAAACTGTTTGGGGCTGCGTCGGTGGGATTAACGAAATAATTTGGATATATCAACATAGTTGAAGTGGTAAATTGGCCACCGTAACGATTACAAAAGCTGACGTTTCGAGCGTTAGCCCTTCGTCGGAGCGAATAGAGGAATTGTGGGTTGTGTGTGCTTTTAAAGGCAGAGAATGGAGCTACGTTATTGGTGGGAACATGGCAACGAGAAAAACAAGAATAAATTAGTGGAATGAAAAGCGTTCGTTGATCCCTGTGGGATTTAGACTGCCGGTTTGAAAGATGAGCTTTTTGTTCAAGATTTTTACGGCTTTCCGTGCTACCTAAGTGTAAGGAAAGACCGCAGATTGCCATATGTTGCTTAGAATGATTAGGTAAATTAAAATGTCTAGCGAAATAAAAAATGTGTACAGCTCTTGTCCTCCCTCCCTCTCCCTGTCTCCCTCCCCAGTATGATTACTAATTTCCAGTCCCCCACTTGATAATTAACCTGTGGCCGATTTCCTGCTCAGTTCCGTGAGCTTTTGAGGCCTGAAGCCATACGTAAAAATCAGAATTTTAAGAAGGGTAGCTTAACAGCTCAAGGAATAGAGCTGCTGTCGCTTCTGAAGATTCCTGTTCGGCTGTCTGAGGTAGTCCACAATTTTTAGGTTGTGTTGGTAGCTGTAAGTAAGTAAGTAAGACTTTAATTAATGAGGGTATCATTTGACAGTAATAAAACCGTTAACCTAATGGCCCTAAAAAAACAAACAAACAAACAAACAAACAAGCTAAAATAGTCTACAAGCCTTTGTACATCGAAAATTAAGACTGTAAAATGTGGTAATATACAGATTTTAAAATTTACATGAATAATTGGGCAAGAATTTGATTATTTAAAACTATTTTAAAAAGGGAACGCTTCAAGTTTTTGACACTAGTACTCCGTTTGAGGTCCATTCCTTCAGGGCTCTCACAGTAAACGTTCGATCACCTTCCTTACTTCTCTTGTATCGAGGGCAACTTAAATGAAGATTACAGAAACGGGTTGATCTATTATGATGTACATTTCAGCCGCGTCAATGGCGCTCGCCAACTCCTCAGTTCTATTTCAATTTTTCTTCATGTTTTGTTTGATAATGTAATTTATCTCCCTCCCCAGTTCATCACTTATATCCAGTATTTCAACTTAATAGTTAACCTGTGACTGATTTCCTGCTCAGTTTCGTGAGCTTTTTGAAGCTTGAAGCCATATGTAAAAATCTACATTTTAATAAGGGTAGAGCGTATCTTAGCTCAAAATCCAATCCAGTCAGTTTTATTTCCGGTCTTGAAAATAAGCTCTCTTGAACTAAGAGGAATTATAACTGTTTCTCGAAGATTTCGCTTGTCGAATCCAAGCAAGTATTAATTAACATCACCTCATTGTGATGTGTAGGTAGAAGTAGTATGTCGAAAGTATAAACGCAAATCAGGATTTTGCTGATTGAGGTGACGCCAGTAATTGATTTAATAATATGAACTTCATATATTCATTGTAACCAAATAACAGGTTAATAACAGGTTAATAACTGGTTAATAACAGGTTAATCGGCAATGAACCGAGTCAAGGTTGTAGTCGACTGTGTTGTGTGATAAACGTAAACCTGATTTGATAATGTAAATCGGCCACCGCAACGAATTTAAGAGTTTTAGCTTTGGAACTCTTTACGGTGACCAACTTACATTATCAACCCATTTGCCGTAACACCAAATTCTCTTGTAATTTCCCCCCATCGACGCAGCACCACAGTTTCTTTAGAAACTTACTCCCTTTCATTCATTTGTGTTGTGTGATAGTCCCGGAGAGGGAAGTCCTCGAAAGCATTGTTTCCGGTGATAGTGATAAAATCTCAGTGGATGTCGTCATTACAGAAGGAGCATAGTTTTATATGTAGAAAAGGAAGAACATCTAAGCTAAAATATTCCTCCGACGACCTGCATTGAGGTGTTTAGGGACCGGTCAGCCCATTTTCTATTGTCTCCCTTCACACTGTTGGCAACGCCCGATCACCCATTTCGTTCCCCTGAAAACGATGTGATCCATCCCCCTCCCCTCAACACAATAAATGACAATGATTCCTTAGCTTTTGTCTTAATTACCAGACCAATTATATGAATGACAGCATTTACTTAACATATAGCCAAGGTAGAGGGCTAGAGGCATTCGGCGAGAAGGCGAAAAAACGCGAGCGACAGAGTGAGCTCTTTCTCGTGCGTCACGTTTCCCCCGGAACTAGTAGAGGGCGGCTGCGGTTAGCTCTTACACGTAGACTTGATAAGGGTCGATGAGCCTCGGATGTTACTGATCTTTATGAGGAGGTAGTATTGTTCCTCGACTCAACTTGCTCTTAAGATCTTGAAGAGAAGAGACCGTGGTTCTCCCTTAGCTTAACGTAAGTTCAATCAACGTGTTTTTGCAAATCGAATTGAGGGCATTGAGAAGTAGTGGTCGGCTCTGATTTAACATGTTGTGTTGTATTTATTACTATTGTTTTTTGAAATCTTATTTTAATTTTTGATCGAGATACGCCATAGTAGACTGCAGACATAACTGTGACACAATTCTTACCAGATAACACGGCAGCACATTGCCATTGACTCGTGGTGTTCACATTAAATCTTTCGCAAACTATAGTCAACACTAATATGAAAGTGATCTTCACTGATGACAACATTATTGCCAGCCTGTGGTAGGCCCCAGAATACATGCTGAGGTTTAAAATTGATGGAATGAAACCAAAATTGGGGCAGAACTCAAAAGCTGGTCAAAGGTAGACCGCGGTGAGAGACCTTTATGCCGTTCAGCCGTATTTTTCGGCCATAATGCGTATCAATAAATTAGCTACCGTAAAGAGAATCTAAAGCTGACATATCGAGCGTAGCCCTTAGCTCTGACTTAGCATATTTAGCTTCATTATGGGCTCTAAAAGTATCTCAATCGGGAAGGAACGGAAAATCTTTCTTAAAAATGTTGAAACTCAGGCTCTCGAACTTTGCAGCAAAATGCAAATGCACAAGTGATGTTATGGACGCCATGGCTGTCCACACATGAAGCTGGCGATTCTATAGGTCGATCGCAGCGATCCGCAAAAATCGCTAGGTGTGCCCCACGCATGGGTTGCGATATTCGCCGATCGCCGATTTCTGGCATGTCAGATATCGATGACTTTCGCTAGCGATCAAACTTTGCCGTGATTGACGAATAAAATCGCCAAAAGTGTCACTGGTTCAAGGGGTCCTAAGGAGTTAGACCATGATAGACAAGCGCAGTTAATCAACTGCATCTATTAAACAAGTACATTTCATTTCGCGATGTATTTGTTTAATGTTACATCCCAGATGACGTCAAAGTGTGGAAACAACAAAAGGGTGGCAAAGGAGGCGCAGCCGAGTGCGTCCGCCGTCACGGAGGTTGCCACCACATTTTTACCTCTACTTCGATCTATTTCTGACAGTGTCCCGTGACGTAAAATCTATTTTTGTTTTGAAGAAGCAAAAGAGAAAAAGATATATATGGTTATGTCATCCATGCGTCTGACCTCCTATAGATCATAGGAAAGAACCAATCGAAATGCGTTTAAAATAACGCTAAGTATTTAATAGTCAACAGTATTTGTTATGTTGCCACGCGTCTGCTCAGCAACTGAGATGTCATAGATCGCAAATGACGTCTAAATGTGGCGAGAACTAAAGAGTATAGGCCCACCTATTTTAAATAGTAACCCCGCGCAAACTGACACATTTTCAATTGCTTTGTATGTTGCAATGATTGATTATTCTTGCAGAATTGTTCAATTTGCATGAGATGAGGAGAGTCATTCACCAAAACTCATTTCATGTTGAGATGTAACTCAGTTTGTGTTCATTTTTGGGGATCTTATGTAGTAATGCTCACTCCAGGGAATCTTCTGCTCATAGGGGAAGCACATTGCTTTTCCTAGTGAATTCGCGTTTCAGCCTAACTTTATTTTAGTTCATGCTTGTGAGCGACATGAACAGAAGCTTACTCAACTCCGTAATCGAATAACGTGGAAAATTATCCCCAGAAAGGAAAGCGAGCTTACGAGCACAAACTCAGCTGCTAGCTATCATCGATGAGAACCAATTTTCCAGAAAGATCATGAACACTTACATTTATCTACAATTTCAATAGTAATGGTCAATAAAAGTACAGCATACAAGTGAACAACGAAGGCAAGTAACAAAGCAAAACAATGATGTACTATTTGTTGACTACTCCAGAAACAACTGTGGCTTTTTATCTTTTTAAAACATTACATGTACTATGAAAGAAATTCAAATGAGTTGGAAACGACTAGAATATTAAAAAAACACAATAAATATGCTCCAAACAAGCACACGGAAAATCACTAAATATTCCCGTAACAGTAATAGTTAATGCATATAAGATCTCTAAAATATAAAAATGAAAGAAGCCTGATAATCTTTTGTAGTTTTCTAATATCAAGGGATTTGCATATTTCCCTAGGTTATATTTCTTTTCCCCTAAGACATGGGAAAATATAATTAAAAATAATTTCCAGCCCTCGATAAAATCCAGTTGTTTTATGAAACGCTTTCGGTTGCAATAAGATGGATCTGGCCTTTCTATGTTAACCGAGAGTTGATATATATTCCTAAAATGTTGGTTCGCTCCACTCGGTTATATGTCAGTATTGTTTATTTTGACCATTTTGATACCATTTTTTTTTTACCTTCAGTTTTAAA